GAATAGCAATAAATCCTAGGACTCTCTTCCTCTATAAAAAGATGCCCAGTATCACATAAGTTGTATTTTTAATGTATTGCATTGTGGCCTTGTTTTATACCTTACACAACTTGCCTCTGTCTTGCGTTGATGAATCGTCCCATCTGATCATAGTGTTGTAAATGTCCCTTGGACCATTATTCAGCATCTGTGAACGAGTTGAAGGTATAAGAGGCTGAGTTGATGAGAACTTGTACTCTTCCGATTCAGTACAAAAGATGTAAGATCTCGGGATGGCACAGGCCGGGCGGAGTTTCCGATGTTTAGCGTGCAACATTTGAGATGTAATTTCCTTGGTTTTCCTTCATTGCGCTGCATGTGCATAGCGGGCAATCCATAAAAAATTTATTATGCTCATGCTATCTGCATAACAGTGTCTTTATTACGCGCGCAAGCCGTTTAAAAGATCTATTTTATAACATGCAACTGGGCAGTTAAAAATTATACATTCTCGGTTTGCTTTACTAGTAAATCTGTAAGCTATAAAAAACCACTCCATGATTTGGGAGTAAGTTTTTGGCCTATATGAAACTTTTTGAGAGATGGTGAAAAGCTATTACCCAAGAGAAAGAAATACCTCAAGAGTGAAGGATTTAAGCTTATCCTAATTGTTTTCAATTGTTTTTTGGATTTTATTTAACTAATTCAGGTCTTAATTTGAATGTATTGAAAAAGCCTATCGACTTGGATTAGATTTCTGAATTACTTAAACTTTTTTCCAATTTTCTCTTTTTAATATTATTAAGAAATTTATTTACTGATAAAAAAATTTATTTCTGAGTGAAAATTTCCTCAGGGCTCTGCAAATTTACTTTTCCATTTCTTTCTAATTTGTTGTGAAAATACAAATAAAATTAAGTTTGCCTATTTCTGTAAACTTCTTATTGGGAAAAGTAGCAGACAAAAAAAAATAAAAAAATAAAAAAAATTATAGGATCAACATATGACAATGAGGTTCACAAAATTTAAATAATTAGATCAATTTAAGAAAAAAACATAAAGAAATTTAAAAGAAAAATTTTGTTTTTTGTTGATTTTATTTTTGAAAAATTATAAAAGAAAAGATATAAGTATCTTTGGATTTTATTTTAAAAAGATACAGATGTAAGATTAATATTTAGAAAGATATCATTTCTATTAAAAATTATTTAAAATTGTCTTATTTTAATTTTTTTTTATAAAGGAATACTGTTCAAATACGCTTTTATAAATAGAATAATCTATCTATTCAATGCTTTACAACTAATCTTTAAAAAATATAGCTTAAGTAATAGAATAAAAAGTTAAGTTGTGGAACGGGAATTGGAAAAGCTGTATGACCCGTGATTGATATGGGTAGGTGTATTGTGGAAAGTGTTTGTTCCCGTTTCTAATTATGGCAGGCCCAATATGGCAGGCCCAACTATGGCAGAGCTTATTGGTGTAAGAGAAGCTCTAAGTTGGCTGAAGGACAAAGGATGGCTTATGCGAGTGGAATTGGAATGTGATTGTTTAAAGGTAACACATGCTAGCCAACAACCTGTGTTGGATAATTCTTATTTGGGTATTTTGATTCTTGACTGTCAAACGCTTATAAATGAGTTCACTGAGTTAGTTGTTCGATTTGTCAAAAAATCAGCCAATCAGTGTGTTCACTTTCTAACTCGAGATGTTGTTTTTATGTCTGATTATTTGGAGTGAGATCCTATCCCTCTAAGTATTATTTGTGATGTTCTGAATTTTGATTCTTCTAATATATAAACATTTGCATTTTTCAAAAAAAAAAAAAAAATAAAATAAAAATAATGATACATCAATAATAGCTTCTAAGATATCTAAAGACTAAAGGACATAATAGCTTCTAAGATATCTAAAGACTATTTTTAGAGAAGCGTTAATTGTGTTTAGGGTTTTTTTCCTTAGAGATTGAATGTGAGAATTAAGGTTATATATATAAATATTGCATTTTTTAACTCTAAATTAGCATCTAAATAGAAAAACTATCTATTCATATTTTGGATTGTATATCAAATAGGTGTAAAATTTTTTCTTTTGGATTTTTTTTCGACTTTTAACTAGACTGAACATTCAGCCGGTTTTAGTAGTATTTTTACGGGATAACACTTGCCTATGCTTGGTGTATGGGACCACCCATATACCAAGCCAATCAAAAAATATTTTTTAAAAATTAATATTACTTTATCCTTTTTTTTTCAATAAATAATTAAAAATACTCTTATTTGAAAATAAACTCTTATTGTTTAATTTCCGTTACTTGCACGTGTTGTCTAATGCGATGGCTCTTGTCCAACTTTATGTAACCACACATCATCCATCTCAGCATTTGTATCTCTAAATAATACTCATCTTTTGAACATATTGAATATTCGGTGTTGTTCAACATTCACTACCAAACAACATTATTAGTCTCACAATCGTACTACTAATGGAACGAAATGAAATAAAAATTTTCATTTCGGAAAAAAAAATTTGGAATTGAATGGATTACATTTTTAAATTCTAAAACAATTTTGGAATGAAATTGGAATAGATGATTTCAATACTGATAACAAGTAAAATACATATGATGTTATATACAAGTTTTATTATTTCAATTGTATTCTGAATTATCACAATTAATAAATTAGTCCCATTATTAGTAAATTTCTTCATTTTTTATTTTACCATGAGCTGAACTAATTTTTACTGTTTTAGGTAAAAAAATCAAAGAAAATAAGTTTTATTTGATTAATCCACATCAACTTTAATTTATACTCTTGAAATGACTTCAGAATAATCATTCAATATATCACTTCAGTACTCTTTACCCACAAATTCGTTACAATTATCTTATTACTTTTTTTTTTTGTATGGCTTTGGGTGGAAAAGGAAGGTTGCCCTGAAGTGATGTTTTGACACTATAAATAGAAAAGAAAGCAAAAGGCAAAGAATTACACACTTTTGCCTCTTCTCCTCCACTCATAGCCGTGCATATCCAAGCAAAAGACCACCAAAAAGTAACCAATCAAGCAAGAAACCGTCACTTAGCAAGGAGAAGAGAATGAGCTTGCAAAACAAATAAGGAGGAGAGATGGGAGCTGAATCAAAAAGTCTTGGGCGCCGAGTTGAAGGACGGTAGCAAGAAAGGAAGAAAAATCCAAGTGTAAATTGTATCTCATGCCTTTGTCTGTTTATTTTTATTGGAATATTTTTATGAATATTGTATTAATATTTATGCATGACTGAACTTTAAATCTGGTTATGTATTAGATTAATGTGTCCAAGAATGGTTTGATTTGTTCTTATATATGCCTATAGTTTCCTGATTTAATATGTGTAATCTTAACGCCTGTAGATATGTTGGGCCCCATATTTGCATGATTTTAGACTGACTTGTATGATTGAAAGATTGACTTTTTAATTAGACCTCATATGTTAAACCCAAAAAAATAAACCGTGGGATGACTAGATTTCTTTGAGGGCCAAAGGATTAACACTAGCTTATTGGGTTCCAATCAATGAAGTACCACAAAAGTAGGTGTCATTTTGAATGTAACACGGTTTATTTAGTCTTGGAAGAGGAATTTAGATATTATAGGTTAGTCCTCCTTCAGAAAAAGACATAAACAATAAAATCGACCATTCGCAGTATGCGTTAAGCTAATAAATATCTCATAGCTAGATTACTTTGATATTTGATTATTTAAACTCTTAAAAACTATTAGCTTAATTTACTTGCTTTAATTTTGTAGTTATTTAATATTGCTGCAATTTTATTTATTGCTTGCCAAAATATTTGCCGTCTTCCTGATAATTGTTAAACATAAAAATTAGTAATCTATTCCCCAATTCCTGTGGATTCGACAACATTTTTCACTATATTACTTGTATAGTTCGTGCACTTGCAGAATATGCATTAATAGCCCATCAAATTTTTGGCGCCATTGACGAAGATCGGTTCCTTGAATAGATATTAATTTAATTGTCAAACAATTAATTAGGAAATTTTCTTTTAATATAATTTTCATAAAAAAAAACAAGGAACAAAAAAATTTAATAATATCTTTCTTGTTAAAGTGAAGTACGTCCATATATTCTCTATTTAAGTTATTATTTCTATTTTCAAAAACTAATATATATATATATATATATATATTACCCTTTTCTTTTACTTAACCGTTTCCTGTTAGTCATTTTCTTTTTTTTTTTTTTTCCTTTTTCAAATTCTATCTTAGCTTTATTTTCTTTTAGTTAATTAGTTTAATTAATTTTCAAAAAAAAAAGTAATTTATTTTGAATTTTCAAGTTATTTTCTTTTTATTGTTTTAGCGAGCTAATCTTTTATACTAAGATCTAGATGTGCAGAATTAATACATCTTGATTTAGAGATTGAAAGAGCAGCTCATGCTATAAGAAGGGAGAACCCGAGATATCAAAGGAGAAGACGAACTTTGGTAACCAGATGACGTGGAAGTGCAGACCCGACATTAGAAAGCAACGAAGTGGCAGACCCACCAGAAATTTCCATTCAGGATCGGACTGAATATGAAGTTCCAAACAGAGATCGACAGTTGGACGTGATGGCTGAAGAAAGAACCTTATGAGAACTAAATATCCCAAATCCAGATGGCACAAAACTAGCTATAGTGAGACCACCAGTAGCCGCAAACAATTTCGAAATCAAGTCGTCTTTGATTTCTATGGTGCAACAATCATAATTTGCCGGGCCACTTGACGAAGATCCCAATGTTCAAATTGCAACATTCTTGATGATTTGTGACACTCTGAAAATAAGTGGTGCATCAGACGAAGCAATTCGATTGAGGTTGTTTCCATTTTCACTGCGGGATAGAGTGAAGCTTTGGTTACATTCTATGCCTGCAGGATTATTCACCACCTGGGATGAATTGAGTCGAGCTTGTCTGCAAAAATATTTTCCACCTAGCAAGATGACAAGGCTAAGGAAGGAAATATCCAATTTTCGGATGAAGGAAGACGAAACTTTATACGAACCCTAGGAAAGATTCAAAGATCTCCAACGAAAATGCCTGCAACATGGCTTTGAAACTCAGCTTTAGTTCAACAGTTTTATGATGGAGCGACACCGACCACCCAAAGTGCCTTGGATGTCGCAACAGCCGGATCAGTTTTGAAAAAGTGAAATTCAGAAGCATTTAACTTGTTGGAAGAAATGGCAGCGAGTAGCTATAAGTGGAACGAGGAAAGAAGTACACCAAGGAAAGTAGCATGAGTCTTGGGTGTGGATGGATTGACACTCTTATCAGCTAAATTGGATGCATTGGCCAACAAGTTTGACCAGCTCAGTGTAAATGCAGAAGCAATGGCACAAACAGGATGTGAAGCCTGTGGAAATTTTGATCATGTAAATGGAGAATGCCAATTTGGGATGACTGAATGTATAGTGGTTCATAATAATTTCCAATCAAGGCCATTTTCAAGCACTTCTACACAAGAGTGGAAGCCAATTTGGGATGACTGAATGTATAGTGGTTCATAATAATTTCCAATCAAGGCCATTTTCAAGCACTTCTACACAAGAGTGGAAAAATCACCCAAATTTTTCTTGATCAAACCAGCAAAACAAAATCTTTAGACAGAATCTAGCCCCTAACTAAAGACCACCACCACTCGGATTTCAGAAACAAAATCCATCATAATTTGGACTAGCTTACCAGAATTCACCATCGAACCTTGAACCCTTGCTCCAAAGCTTTATGCAAACCCAAAAGGCAATAAATGATGGTCAAAGTCAAAACATCAAACAATTGTTCGACAAGGTGGACAAGCTAATTGCTGATCAGAAGATGAGGGATAAACTAGTTGAACAACTAGCTAGCTCCTCTAATTCAGAGCTTATGGAAAACTTCCCAGTCTACTAGTTCCAAATCCAAAAGAGCAAATTAATGTTGTAACTTTGAGGAGCAGTAGAATTGTGGAAAATCCAGAACCATGATCGCAAAAGGAGAAGCAAATCAAGAAAGAAGTGACAGACATAGAGGAAGAATTAGAGGTAACATTGGAAGACAAAAAGAAAGAGGAAGAACTAAAGAGACTGAAGGAGGAGGATTTGCAAAGAAGAATGAAAGTCTTTGAACCACCACTTCCTTTTTCTCAAAGATTAAGACAAGCATAGCTAGACAAGCAGTTCAGAAGATTCTTAGACATGCTGATACAGATCTTTGTCAATATGCCCTTCACAGAAGTTATATCTTAAATGTTTTCTTATGCAAAATTCCTGAAGGAGATATTGACAAAGAAGAAGAAGTTCGAAGCCTATGAAACAGTGACTCTGACTGAGGATTGCAATGCACTAATCCAGAATAAGTTACCACCTAAACTAAAGGACCCTGAAAGTTTCTCAATTCCTTGTGAGATTAGTGCTATAAAGATCAATAAGGCACTCGGTAATTTAGGAGGCAGTGTTAACTTGATGTCACATTCTGTCTTCAAGAAGATAGATGTAGGGAAACTCAAGCCAACTTAAGTGATCTTATAACTAGCAGATTGGTCCATTAAATATGCCATTGGGATAGTAGAAATTGGGATAGTAGAAGATGTACCAATAAAAGTTGAAAAATTCTACATTCTAGTTTGATTTTATTGGTGTGGAGATCGGATTGAAGATCACAAATTCCTGAAGGAGATATTGACAAAGAAGAAGAAGTTCGAAGCCTATGAAACAGTGACTCTGACTGAGGATTGCAATGCACTAATCCAGAATAAGTTACCACCTAAACTAAAGGACCCTGAAAGTTTCTCAATTCCTTGTGAGATTAGTGCTATAAAGATCAATAAGGCACTCGGTAATTTAGGAGGCAGTGTTAACTTGATGTCACATTCTGTCTTCAAGAAGATAGATGTAGGGAAACTCAAGCCAACTTAAGTGATCTTATAACTAGCAGATTGGTCCATTAAATATGCCATTGGGATAGTAGAAGATGTACCAATAAAAGTTGAAAAATTCTACATTCTAGTTGATTTTATGGTGTTGGAGATGGATGAAGATGCACACATATCCATCATACTTGGTAGACCCTTTTTTCCCACTGCAGGAGCACTCATTGATGTGAAAGAAGGAAAGCTCACTTTGAAAATTGGTGACAAAGAAGTAGTGTTCAATTTATTTGAACCTATGAAACGTCTAGCAAGCCTTTCAGAATGTCTCCAAATTAATGTGGTAGATGAAGCTGTTAAAGAGGTAACAAAAGATGAAAGTCGTTCTGACCCATTGGAGGCTTGTCTTGTGAATGCCAAAGGAATCACAATAATAGTAGATGAAGTACAAATCTACAAGGAAATGATGGAGCAAAAGCCTTCATTATCCTTCCCAGAAAGCTTAAAATTTGAAGACTTAAAATCACGATGAAGAAGAGCATTCAGGCTCAACCACATCTCTAAAAGAGGAGGATGCACCATAGGTAGATCTTAAACCTTTACCTCCTGGATTCAGGTACCCTTTTCTTAGTCCTAACTCTACTTATCCTGTGATAATTAATTATACTTTAACTTGTGATCCAGAAAATAAGTTGTTGCAGTTGCTTAGTGAGAATATAAGGATTTTACAATACAGTATTCATAACCTCAAGGGAATTAGTCCTTCGATTTGAATGCATAGGATTATGTTTGATGAAGGTGTCAAACCTTCAATTGAGCCTCAAATAAAATTGAATCCTAACATGAAGAAGATAGTAAAGAAGGAAATAACCAAGTTGCTAGATGCAAGAATTGTTTACACAACTTCAAATAGCACTTAGGTTAGTCTAATTCATGTAGTACCAAAGGAAAGGGGATTACAATAGTGAAAGGGGAGAATAATGAAACTCTAACTACTAAGGCTGTTACGGGTTGGAAGATGTGTGTCGATTATAGAAAATTGAATAGTGCCACCCGTAAAGATCATTTTCCCTTGCCTTACATTGATCAAATTTTAGAAAGGTTAGAAGGTTATTCACATTTCTATTATTTAGATGGTTTCTCAAGATTCTACCAAATACGCATACATAATCAAGATCAGGAGAAAACCACATTTTTTATGGTTTCACATGCCCTTATGGCACATTTGTATTTAGACACATGTCTTTTGGACTTTGTAATGCACCAACAACATTCCAAAGGTGGATGATGGCTATATTTTCTGATTTTATTGAGGAAATAATGGAAGTTTTTATTAATGATTTTTCTGTACATGGAAATTCTTTTGTTCTTGTTTGGCTAATCTTTCTAAATTTTTGAAGCGTTGTGATGAAGTTAACCTTGTTTTAAATTGGAAGAATGTCACTTCATGGTTCAAGAAGGTGTAGTCCTTAGAAATATTGTCTCAGACTGAGGGATTTGAGTAGATAAGGCAAGGATGGAAATTATTGAGAAGATGCCATCCATCATTGGTGAAAGAAATTAGAAGTTTTCTTGCACATGCAGGATTTTACTATCGATTTATTATAGATTTTTCCAAAATTTCTAAACCTCTGTGTAATTTATTGGCAAAAGATGTCTGGTTTGATTTTGACAAGGAATGTCTGAGTTCATTTTGTAGGTTAAAGGAGGCCTTGATATCAGCTCCAGTTTTTCAACCCCTAGATTGGAGTTTGCATTCGAATTGATGTGTGATGCAAGCAATTATGTAATAGGAGCAATATTAGGGCAAAGAAAAGATGAAAAGCCCTATGCCATTTACTACACTAGTCGAACTCTAGATGAAGCTCAAGTTAGTTATTCTATAACTGAAAAGGGGTTCCTAGCAGTGGTATGGGCACTGGACAAATTTGACGATTACTTATTTGGATCGAAAGTCACTATTTTCATTGATCATGTAGCCATTAGATACTTATGAGCAAGAAAGAAGCGAAGCCGAGATTGATCTGTTGGGTTTTACTCTTATAAAAATTTGATTTTGAGACTAAAGATAAAAGAGGAGTAGACAATGTTATGGTAGATCACCTATATAGGTGAGAAGAGAAGAGGATGTCGGAGACAATTCCAGTATCCTGATTGATGACTCATTTCTTAGGGAGCAGATTTTTGCTGTTAAAGACTACAAGGTGCCGTTGGTTTGCAGATTATGTTAATTACCTTGTCTGTAAAGTTATTCTGCCAATATAAGTTATAATCAGAGGAAGAAATTCCTAGCTGAAGTGAAAAATTATTATTGGGAGGAATCGTTGTTGTATAAGAAATGTGGAGATGGGATCATCAGAAGATGTCTATCGGAGGAAAAAATTCATGAAGTTCTGTCTCATTGCCATTCTTCACCTTATGGAGGTCATTTTGGAATGACAAGGACAACTGCAAAGGTATTGCAAGCAGAGTTCTTTTGGCCTATGCTTTTCAAAGATACAAGAAATTTTGTGATTTATTATGACAAATGCTAGAGAATTGGGAATGTGTCTAGAAGAGATGAGATGCCACTCCATGGAATTTCAGAGATTGAAATATTTGATGTTTGAGGGATAGACTTTATGGGACCTTTCCCATCGTCTTACTCAAATAAGTACATTTTATTGGCAGTCGATTATGTCTCTAAGTGAGTAGAGACAGTTGCTACACCAACCAATGATACAAGGGTGGTGATAAAATTTTTGAAGAGATTTGTACTGACCAAATACAGAGTACCGTGAGTTCTCATCAGTGATGGGGGAACTCATTTTTGCATTCGGTCCCTAGAAAAACTTTGAAGAAGTATGGAGTCACCCACAAGGTAGCAACCCCTTATCACCCACAAACCAATGGACAAGTTGAAATTTCAAGTGGAAAATCAACAGCATTCTGCAGAAAATGGTGAACAATGCTAGAAAAGACTGGGCAATAAATTTAGATGATGCTCTTTGGGCTTATAGAACTACTTACAATACCCCAATTAGAATGTCGCCCTTTAGGCCAATGTTCGAAAAATCATGCCATCTACCAGTGGAATTGAAGTACAAAGCTTTTTAGTCGAATAAAACACTAAATGTTGATTTGAAGGCTGCTAGGGAATGCAGATTGTTGCAACTCAATGAGCTTGAGGAATTGAGACTCGATTCCTAGGAAAATGTTAAAATCTAT